TTTTATTTATTATATATAAATCTGAAAAATTATAAAATGTAATAAAAATTTCTTTATATTATTAAATTCTGAAATACGTTAAAATGCATTAATTCTAAAATATAATAGTTAAAACGTAATAAATGTTAATCTCTTAAAAAAAGAAAACTACTTAACAAATTATGATATAGATATTTTATATCTATATTATATATTATATATCTATTTATTTTATCATCGCAAAACAAAAAATATAAATAAATATGTATCACAGTTATAATTTTTCATAAAGCATAATTTATGTATATATTTAATATATATTAAAATATTCAAGCATAAATTTAAAAACACTGGATTTTCTATGACGTTTTCTGTGACGTCAATTAAACATCGATTCATTTTTTCAACTGTTCTATTGACAATAAATAAAATATAATAATAAAATTAATTGATTTTATTTTTAAAATATTAGAATTATGTTTAAAATATTAGAAATTTCATTTTACATACAATAATGTAATATATGTAATAATAAATATAAATATAAAAAATTATAGTAAAAGTATATATAAAATATATTATTTTATTTTAGTTGAATATTAACTTAATAGATTTTATTATATATTTTTGTACACATACTATTCCATATTTTTTTGTGTCTTTTTATGTCTTATGGGTTAATTATATCAGGATTACATTAAGAAATAAACGTCAAGGTATGATCGATAACGAAATAGGTACTTATGAAAGATTAGTCCACAGTCGTTCTTAATCGAATTTTTATTGTCTTATCATATAAGATACTGATAATGGTTATTCATGCGCAAAACAATTAAGATTAAATTAGATAAAACAGATGAAACATGTAAAAAATGTAAATATCATATCGCTTCTTACGATATAATTTTATTATAATAGTAAGCAATTATAATAATTAATATTAAATAATGGATAAATACCTAAAACAATTTACAATATAAATATCTATATATATAAATATCCGATAACTATTTTTAAAAGAAGATCTCCTTTCATTGAGAGGAAATTTCTATTTTTTGAGTACTAATGAAACTTATTATGAATCATATTATAAATTAATAAAGTCTAATAACTTTGTTTCATTTTTTTTTTATACAAAAATGTTCTTAAGAATCATGCTTATTCTGTAGTTTATTAGAAACTATTAAAATTTCTTTTTTAATTATATTAGGAAAGTCTCGGAGGAAATTCAAGAACAGCAATGCTTGGAACAATATCACCAGCTAATATACATGTAGAAGAGACGCTTGCAACACTTCGATATGCTTGTCAAGCTCGAGCTATTGTTAATCGCGTTCGAATTAATGAAGATCCACATGAAAAATTAATTCGGTAACAAATATTTTCTCATAAATGTAACTGATAATTCATACTTATTATCTCATTCAAAAATATTTTTCCTTAATGTGGATTATTAATATATATAAAATTGAAAGTTCTTAAATAAATTATAGATCTTTCACTTCGAAGAGAAAAGACAAAAGAATACTGATACAATTTTTATAGTTTGTAATAGACATATAACCTAAAGCTTTTAATTATAAATATAATTATGATTTTCCTATCAGAGAATTAAAAGCAGAAGTGTTGCGATTACGCGGCGTACGCGAAGGATACGAAAAGCAACTTGGAATATTTCCACGTCGTCTTCTCGATTCTGTTGAATTGGTTAATCAAAATAACGATGAAATTAAACAAAAACAAGAAGAAATTAATAAACTGAAAGATCAATTAAAGAAGACTGAAGAACAACTTGCAACTACCCAAATGTAAGTTCTTAAATACAAGTAGATCAAATATAATATCATAAGCTATATTTATTTTAGAAATAATCAATGTAAGTTGTTATATATTTTGATATCATTTTAAAAATAAATTAGATTATCATATTATTCCAGAAATAGATCAAAGGATATTTATCAATTTAAAGATTTGAATGTTTAGTTACATGTAATTACAGGATTTGGCAAACAAAATTACGAGATACCGAGGAAAAGAAAAATTCAGAAATAAAATATTTACGTCGCTGCGGTATTGCTATTGAACTCGATTTTTATGAGAAAGATAAACAGCCTTGTCTTATAAATCTCGCAGCTGATCCTATGTTGTCCGGTATACTTTTGTATTTCATTCCTCCGGGATTGGTTCGCATTGGAAAAAATTCTGATTGCGAGAATTCTTCAGAAAATTTGGATATCATGTTGGACGGACCTCTGGTTAGGCCTTTACACTGGTTAGTTGGGTCGTTTGCAATTCGGTGGATTGAAAAATTTCTTGGTCTTGTTCATGTTTTCCATTTGTATATCTTTTTCTCCATTACTTCGTTTTTTGACTTGCTGCTCATGAATTGTGATTCAGGAAAATGTTTTACTTTGTCCATCTTTGTTTTCTTTTACTAATCGCCTCTCATCAACGCATGTTTGTCTTTTCTTACTTTAATTAATTTATGATTTAAAAAAATATGCATGATAGTTTTCTGTTATTTAATCACTATATGGTGTTATGATTTCCGAATGATTTCAAATTTTACATTATCTCATAAGTATAAAAAATTAAATATTTATATCTGACAAAAAAAATGTATAGTTGGAATTATTTATATGCTTATTTTAATAAATCTTTTTAATGATTCTCTAATCGATTTTTTATGCACTCACAGTACTATTGAAAACAATAATGGAAAACTTATATTATCTTCAGAAATGGAAGGAGATACATTTGTGAATGGGCAGGTATAATATATTTTACATTTATAATTTTATTGCATTACTTTCATCAATTATAAATTATTTATTACATATAGGTCGTAACTGGCAAAGTTATTTTAAAACACGGTGATCGATTAGTAATTGGCGGTAATCATTACTTTAAAGTTTCAAATCCGAATGATAAGCATGGTAATATACAAATTTCAGCGCAAACTGTAGATTATGAATTTGCTCATCAAGAAATTCTTAAAGTGCAAGAAGAAAAGTATAAATTTATAATAATTCTTTTTATTCAATAAATGTTCATTATTTAAAATTATATTATTTTTAATTCAATATAGATTAAGAGCAGAATTGGAAGAAAGTAAACAGAAAGCAATAAAAGAATTAGAAAATGCAAAACGAGAAATTGAAATGCAATTGGGAACCCAAAAATTATCATACGAACGTAAAATTGAAATTCTTGATTCTACAGTTCAAGAGCAGAAACTTGCATTAGAACAAATTCATCAAAAAAAAAAAGAATTAGAATTAGAAAAAGAATTACTTGCAAATGAAATTGAAGCAAATAATAGATTAAAACAAATACAATTTGATCAAAATAAAGTTAATATTACGCCATATAAATCTAATTTCTTACAAGAATTGGAAAGTATTTTAAATGAAAGAACAGCAAATGTCGAATTCGCTCTTAAGATGAAAGCTAGTGAAGAAGCAATAAGTGATGGTGGTATTAGTTTACATGAAATGCAAATATTAGTAAGAGAAGCTACTGAACGATGTAAAGAAGTTGGTATTAATTATGTAGGTATTTATGATATTTGCATAAATAATAATTAAAAAATATGTTTTAATATATATAACATAATTCTATTCATTATATTTTAGGATTTTGATCAACAGCAAACAATTGTCAATAAAAGTCTGAAACCAGTAATTCGTATACGTAACAAAGATAGCATGAAAGAAACATTCTGGCAACCAATGCGATTTTTAGACTGGGTTCATCATTTGCGAGATTATGATATAGAAGATTCGATTAAGGAACTATATACATCAGAAGAAACTTGGGAATCTTATGAAAATACAGAAACTTTTGAAGATTCTTTGAATAATAGTCGGATTTCAATAAATATGACTCCCGTAAAGAAGCATTTAAATGAGAGTTTACAACTTTCATTAGATACGTCTCTACTTGGAACTACATTAAATAATCAAACATTTGACATTTCAAAAGATCAAGAAACTATAAATACATGTCTCCTCCAAATAGAACTTGCTATAAAAACTATACGTAAATTATGTAGTAAAAATAGCGAAATTCAATCAATTCCGGAATCTCTTAATAATATGGAAAGTATCATTTGTAGTTTACGTGAAATTTTAGAAATAGAAAATATAAGTAAATGTACCAATGAAAATGTAATTTCTATTCAGAATTTTAATGGTAGCACAATTGAAAATTCTGACATAAATTTGACAGTTTCTAGTCTCAATTGCAACATAAAATCTGTTTCACCAACAAAATCTACTTTACGTAATAATGATAAAAGTTTTGTGTGTGACAAAAAAAGTGTAAGATTTACAGATAAATTAAAAGAAGAATTAACTTAGTAAAAATAAACATTACTTAATTAAATAAGATTTCTATTTAGAGAAATATATTATTATATAAATAAACGTATTGGTAATATACTTGAAAAACATTAAGTGGAACATAAAAATATGTTTAATATGTGACTATTATTTTATTTTTTATTATTCATAGCTGTTATATAATGTTATTTACGTATGTATATTATATAAAATATTCTGTATGAATGTTTAATTAAATTTATATAAGGTCTGTAAAGTTACTCAAATAAAATAATCAATTTAAATAAGTATCCTATTAAATAAAGCATATTTTATGAATATTAAATTAATAAAATATAATTATAATATAATATAATAATTAACTATATAAGTTTTATATTATAATTAATCAAAATAATCCTCAATATCAATAGCAGGATTCAATAAGTCTTCTCCATAGATACTTAAATCTAATTGATTAAGTATTAAATTCTCGCACATTTCTTCTAAATTAGTATCTCCAATTAAAACTGCTCCTTGCATTTTACCATTTTTTAATATAAGTTTTATATATTCTTCTCCTCTAGTTATTCGTAATAATACTTCGTAATTATTATCCAACTTTTGTCCATTATACAAACCAAGTAAAACTACTTTGTAACCAAAAAACTTAGTTACATGAGTAAAAAGTTCAAAACAGAAATCTTGTAAAAATTCTTCATTTTTCATTTTAGAAACCATTGATTTTGCTGCATATCGACCCATCTGATGTGCTTGAGTCCATAATCTCATTTGAAACCAATGTTTTGCTAATTCCCACCCTGCACTACATATATCCCCAGCAGCATATATATCTCGTTTAGAAGTTTCTAATTTCCAATCTACCAATAATCCTCCATCTTTTTCCTTTTTTATATCTTCCAAACCTATTATATCAGAATTTGGAATTACACCAGTTGCTGACACAATGAAGTCACAACCAATAATTTTTCCATTTGTTAATTGAACATATATAGGCCATTCTTCTATAGGATCAAATTCTTTTTGTTCTGATTTATTAAGAATTTTAATTACCTCACATTCATATTCTATTTGTACTTTTGCAGATTTAAGATAACTACTTTTTATATCAAAATTGTTATGCCAATCTGGACCTAAAGCTGGTCCATCTGCTATAGCTGTAATATCAGAGACAGTATACCTCATTCTTTTAGTTAAAGAACTTACATTAGCATTTATAAATGTACTATTTTTATATATTTTGTTCATGAAGAATTCTGAAGCTCCAGGATCAACAAAAGTTGCAGAAATATGTTTATCCTTAATTACCCATATCATTTCAAGACCATCTACTTCGTGCACCATTTCAGTTGCAATACCTCCATTTCCAACTATTACAATTCTTTTTGAATTCTTTATTTTTTGAGAAAATTGAAGAACTGATTCTGTATCTCTTATACCTAGTATAAAATCATTATGATTTTCTATAAGTTTTGGTCTAGCACCATTACAAAGACATAACATTTTATAATTTATAATTTTTCCATTTTTAGTTTCCACTTGTTTATTTAAACTATCTATTTTTATTACTAAATCATTAATAATTTTTAATAAATCATGTATTTTCATCAAAACTGTACTATCTTTTTCTTCTATATCAAATTGCATTAAAGTTTTACCAAGTGGAATTATATTTGTGACTGTTTTTATTAAAGGACTTGCTGTAATTAGAATGATTTTTTCTTCTGGAGCAAGAAAAGCTATGCTTTCAACACAAGATATTCCAGCAATACCACCACCTACTATTAAAAATGTACAGTTTAATTTTTCTTCATCCATTTTATATGATTTATTTCTTAAATGTAAATTTTCAAATATAAATCAAAAATAATGCATTAATTTTTCCATTCTAAATAATTATAATATTTAAAAGGAACATGATATGGAAATAAACCATATTCTCTTGATTTCATTATTGCAACAAGTAGATCTTTATAAGCCTTTTGACAAAGACAAGTATAACTGTAAATAAAAAGAATAAATATAGAATAAATTGTAGAAGAATAATAGAAGAATAAACTGTAAAAAAAGAATAAATAATATTATATAATTATATTGATAATTTAAAATTTTTACTATATTTGAAGAAAGTTAAACTTACTGATAATTTAAAATTTCTCCATTATCCTTAGAAATAAATTGTTTTAATAAATCAATATTACGATAATCAAGAATTAAATATTCATCTCTGCATATTGGACATGGATTACCAGTAGCAATTATACCACCTCTCTAAAATTTTTATAGAATTATTTAAAAAATTATAAAATTATAAAAAAAATTTAAAAGTATTTAGAATTATATTAGAAAAGTAATTAAAAGTATTAAAATTATAAATTAAATAATATTTTAAATTTTTCTTCAAAACATACAATACAAGTCTTTCGTGTTTTCTTTGGAGGAATTTGACCTTTAAAGCTTCGTCTATAATATTTCCAAATAGGTTCTTCTCCGTAAGTTTGTTTATAAGCTAATATTATATAAATAAATTATATAATATATATAAATAACATATTAATGTAATTAAAATTATAAATGTATGTAATTAAAATTACAAGATATGTAATTAAAAAAAAATTATATAATTACATACCACTACTTTTAAGATATTTTATACTAATATCTACAGGAATTATTTTACTTCTATCTTTTGAAGGAGGAACTGGTAAATCTGTATTATTTTCAATATCTTCTATTTTGTAATATTTTGCAAATGTAGAATGGATAAATTTCACTGATATAACCTAAAAAAAATTTAGAATATTAAATCACTTTTAAAAGTTCGTGATTATTTCTAATTCTTACTTTTATAATTAAATTAGTTTGAAAAAATGAGCCAGCTAACTGTAATTTATTCAATATTAACAACATTATTTTTACTATTAATAAAATAGTTTTTTTTTTAAAGATAAATACATATATTGCGCATACGTTTGTAATATGAACTATAATTCTTGCACAACAATTTTTAGAAATAGCATTCTTATTGTTTAATATTTATAAAATTATTCAATTTTTAGTATTATAATAAATTTATATTATATATATTAATACTTGTTTAATTAAATTTTGTTATAATATTTAATAAGATTTAATATAGTTGTTAATATTAATTAATATAAATTTTTAAAGATTGAATTACATAAATTTTTTATAATCATAAAAATAATTTCTTTATTTGAAAAAATATATATAATATATTTAATAAATTATTATTTGCTATTAAAAATTCTTTAATAAAGTTTTTCATTTGACTAAATATCAGTTATATCTACATATTGGAAATTACTCAAAAAATATATTAAATATTTTATAAGATTTATATTTTATATATATTTTAGTAATAAATTTTAATAAAATCATATATTTTTTATATTCAATATTTATTTGTTTATAATCCTAATATGATAAATAAAACAGGTTTACGCTTGACTCACTTACAGATGTACCATTTCCGGTTTGGGCGTAACATCATCTTCTACGTAGTTAGGTAAGAATAGTTTAACTTTAAGTAAAAATAAATTTCGGAATTATTTAACAAAATGTAACAAAAAAATTAACACTTAAATAATAGAAATAATGTTTAAATAATATTTAATTACAGATGGCAGATCAGCAAGAAGATATCCACGGATTTTGGACAATCTTGTAGCATTTGCCGATGCATAGCCTATTTTCGACAGAGCATAGGGCCACATCGTTTTTGTGTATAGGAAATGTTAAATTTCTTATACACAGCTGTGATCATATATTTTCCATAAAAAGGATTTAATTAATAATCAAATGTGAGTGGCTTTTCTGTCGTTCAAAAAAGCCGAAGTATATTATATATTTTTTCAACAATTTTTTGATTGGAATCAACTCTAATATTGTTTGTTCAGTAGATTACTACTATATACTATATAGTTTTACATATATTTCTTAAAGAAATATATATAATAAAAATAGAAGAAATTTAATGTAAAAATATTTAAGGCTTAAAGTAAGGTGATATAAGCAATAATGTATTAGTGATACAAGTTGGGAATGTCTGGTTTTTATAATAGAAATTGCATGCAAGCTATTTATTATATTTTAAATTTGCACGAGTGATAATTGGATATTATTGAAGCATTATTAAAAGTGTTAGTGATTGCCTATAAATAAAATAATTTTGGCAAAATTCTAGCACAAATGAACAGTCATGATGTGCTAAAAATAACAATTATTCGGTGACGTCAGTGACACGGGGTGGGATCGCTGTAATTATTGGTTGATGTTAAAGAAAATTTTAAACGTGATTGGTTGATTGTGTAACCATTCTGGGTGGGATATGCGCGTAGATATTGCGCAGTAGGAAATCCGCCAGTTGACCATCGAGTGATCGCCGTTAACCGAGGAGCTTACATTTTAGATTAATAGTTTTCCCATTTATAACTTTTATTCCTCAATTTCAATATTTAAAGTTACCTCTTCTTAGAGAATGAAAAGAAATATTGAAACTATATTGAACTTATTAAAATAGAGAAAATTTATCATAAAAACTCTTTTAATTGATACTTGCGATTTGTGATACGATTGAGATGATTTGTATAGTACGATAAAAGGATAATGAGAATAGCAAAACAATTTAAAAATTTTATATTTGCGAATAATTATCTGTGTAAATATATTTAGGCTTAGGTAATAATTTTTAATGAAATAATTTTATATTTATAGATAAATAACTTAATAGCTATATTTTATGTGCGTGAAAAAATTCGACAATATGGCGGTGTCGTGTACGTTATCTTTGAAAAAGTATATCACTTTTACCCATTAAAAAAACGAATATTTCTGTGTTTTATTACAGATTTACGTCATGATCCTATGATTGTACTCCAATATGCGTTAAATCACCAAAAATATCATCAAAATGGTAAGTCATGTTATTTTTTAAAATTCACTTATATTTTTTCTTCGTAAATTTTTTGAGAGAGGGCGCCATATACGAGAAATTACGACAAATATAATGGAAGGGGAAAGCGATAGGATCAATAACCTTCGTTCATATGACCTCATATCCTATTTCTGGCGTCATCAACTTTTAATGATCGTACAATATGAGCATTTATGTAGTTATATGAAAGTTTTTATAAAACTAATGTAATATATATTTAAATACTGATATTAAACAAAATGGGGAAGGTAAATGATCTTTGCGCTTTTCTTTTATATGCGATGTTATATGATGAATATCTTACTTAATATTTGAATTTTTACTTATTGTTCTGATTATATTCTACTTTAATATGCAATTTATAATTATATAATAAAAATAATAACTCACATATAAAATATATAAAATAAAATATAAAATAAATAATAATAATTTTAGAAATTGTTTTATAGTAAAGGTTAAATTTGCATAAATATTTTGATAATGTTTTTGAAATTATATATTGCAAAAATTGACAATTATATAAATTGATAATAAAAATTGAAATAAAAATTAATTTAAATAACTTTTTGCTGATATATCAGACTATCATTTTATTAAATCATTCAAAAATAGACTAATTTCAATTTGATTGAGATTCAATTTTTTTATATTATTCTACATAACCTTATCTTATATAAAAACTTGAAATATGTGATGTATTCTTGCATGTGCTTTTTCAGCCACGTATAGATCCTCTATCTTTATTGAAATGTCTTAGTGTTTTATTGGGGCCAACTGGAGGTATAAAAAGTAAAGAAGAAGTTCATCGGTTGGCTAGTTTGATGACAAAATTTTCCAAAAAACTTGTTTCAAAATGCATTTATATACAAATATTGAAAACTACAAATACAGATTTACTTAGTCAGTAAGTATAAATTTTTTTCTAATTAATTATTTGCATTTGAAACATATATACATTTAAAATTGTGTAATGTAAACTTATATAAAGAAAAATTTATATAATTGCATACTAAAGTACATAAATATTTATATTTTATACAAAATATTTATGTAAAATTTAAAATGTATGCTAGAATAAAAAAGGAACTCAGAACCATTGGACAGTTTCATTAATAAATTGTACTCACTGATGAGAGTTCTATAAAATATTTTTTAAAGATATTTTTGAAACAAATAAAATTTATAATAGAATAATTTATAATTTTATTTTTGTTTGTTTGTTTATTTATTTAGATTTATGGGTGCTGGAGGATGGAATCTCATACATATGTGGCTTACAGATGGTATTCTTGCAAAAAATTGGGCTTTAATTCAAGAACTTCTAGAACTTCTATTATTATGCCCAGTAGATATAGAAAGATTAAAAAGCAACAATTGTCCAAAATTAATAAAAGGTTTATCAAAAGAAGGTAGTCATCAAGGTGTTAGAGTGTTAGCTAGTCGATTGGTTGAACAATGGTTAAAAATAGTGAAAGGGGAAGCTGCACCAAATTCTGTACCAGCACAAATCATGACTATTCCAGTACAAACTACAGGAGTTCTGGGACAAAGTTTGGTATCTCAATCAGCACAACAGCAACAGTATTCAATTCATTGTGGTATCCAACAAGTCCCAGAAAGTACAGAAAATGCAACAGTTCAAGTGCAAGATTTGCAATTTATTTCAAATTCCACATCAACTATTGCAGTATCTCACATTCATCATCATCAGCAGCAGCAGCAACAACAGCAACAACCATCACAAGAACAACAACAGGTACAAGAGAGAACAACTGTGCAACCTTTACAATTGCAAGTTGTTAGTAAACCACAACAGATGCAAATACAACAACACTTATCATCACAATCAAAAAAACCTGCCTTTGTTGTGGTATCTACATCTTCACAATCTCCAGTTCCTGTGTATAAAATTACAATTCGTGAAGGCAAACAAATTCTTACAAAAGTGGAGACAGATGCTTCTAATATTAATAGTGTTTTAAATACAAATAGTACAAATATAGATGTTAATGGAGATATTGTGGAGAATACCCTTCCTGTGAAACAAACTTCTGAAGAAGTAGCATCTACAGAACTTAGTGATGGTGTAGTTAGTGGTCAAGATTGTGAAAAAAACATTGCACAATCTGAAAAATTAGACCAAGTTTCAAGTGAAGTGAAACAAACTATAGTAGATTCCACAGATAGTCTTGATGTGGAACTTATTAAAAATAAAGAAAGCAAAGACATTAAAGATCTTAAAGACAATACTAATAGTGAAAGTAGTAAATCTAGTAATAAAGAAAATCGGGACTCTTCTAAAAAAGATGACAAAAAATCTAGTAGTTCAGATAAAAAAGGTCATCATAGTTCATCTTCATCCTCCAAAAGTTCTTCTAAACATACTTCAAGTTCCAGTTCACATCGTTCTAGTTCCACATCTTACAAATCTAGTAGTCATCGCTCTAGTTCTAGTAGTAGTTCAAAAAGTTCTAATTCCAAGGATAAGTCTTCCAAGGACAAAGAAAAACATCATTCATCTAATTCATCCAATAAACATAATTCTAGTAAAAATAAATCTGATAAAGAGCGGGAAAAGGAAAAACAGAAGAAAGATCAAGCAGAAAAAGATAAAGCAACATTAGAAAAGATTCAAGGACAAGCATTAAGTTCGAAATTTGGAAAAATACCCAAAAAGAAATCGGAAGAGGAAAAATTAGGCGATGCGATTGTAAGGAAATCATCAACAGACTCTCGGGATAGTTCTAAAGAAAATAAGACTGATTCAAAGAAAGTTGTTGCAGTACCAGAGAAGAAGAACATTTCTATTTCCATTGAGAGTAG